ATTAAAATGTTCATACCTCAAGAGAGCATGGATTTGAACAAGCAGCTTTAAAAAAGCAATATGATGAACCTAATTAATATGATTACATGTGACTGATGCTTAATCCTACCAGAATTATTAAAAATATTAATTATGCAAACCATGTTTCCAACTTTTAAAACTTTCATGTTAATTTAAAATCTTTTGGTAGCAAGAAAATTAACATTAAGGCAAATTATTCTTGCTTATGAGGTCCATTGGTCAGTTCTTCTAAATGTTCCCAGGTTTTTCACACATTCATTTCCCACTATTAAGACCACAGAATATGTAATTTGTTTTTATTTTATTTTAATCATACCTAATGTATCAGGTCAGTGGGCCAGGGACACAATTTATTGTTTGTAATTTGAATGTTGTTACTATATTCAAGTTTGTTTTTTACATCTTCCCTCTTTCTGCTGATTGAATCTTTAAAATTGAGGCTAGGGTTGTAGTCACCCAACACTGAATGCCCTGAACACAGTACTCATAAACTAGTTGTGTGAATGAAGAAGTGATGAGTGGAAACTAGGAGAATAATTTTTTAAACTGTAGTAATCTTTAAAATTATCTCAGAGATTAAATTTGCTTCTTATTTGTACTATTTCTGTACCTGGCTGTCTAATGAGGCAATGAATCACTGCCTCTGTATTAAGCTAAGAATTTTCCACATGAAAGGGTCAAGAAGTGATTTAATAGCCAAATATGGGACTGCTGTAAATATTTCCTGAGAGTAAAAAATATGAGGTGAAATAAAAACTGATAAACTCTACAAAGTATTAGGGGATTGTGTCTTATAGAATTCAATTTGGAAACTGGTCTCTCTGCCAATGATCCAATATAGACCATTATACCCTTCTCATATCATACCCTAAATTATAGAAAGGAGAGCAAGATTATAGAAAAATCACTAGAGAAAGGCACTGACATAGAAAAGCAGTGGGGGGGCGCCTGGGTGGCTCAGTCGGTTAAGCGGCCGACTTCAGCCAGGTCATGATCTCGCAGTCCGTGAGTTCGAGCCCCGCGTCGGGCTCTGTGCTGACAGCTCAGAGCCTGGAGCCTGTTTCAGATTCTGTGTCTCCCTCTCTCTGACCCTCCCCCGTTCATGCTCTGTCTCTCTCTGTCTCAAAAATAAATAAATGTTAAAAAAAAAAAAGAAAAGAAAAGAAAAGCAGTGGGACTTCTGAGGACGGCTAATAATAGATTAAAATTAAAATTAAAGATTACAATAACCTGAAACTCCAGTTTTGTTTGGATCTTTCTAGTAACAAAAAGGAAGATCAGTAGCGAGAGCTATAGTACTTTGATGGGTATGATATAGTGACATTTTCATCTTAATTGTATTTGCAAACTATAGGCAGTTAAAACTCCATTTAACATTAAAATATCTTTCATTTAACTATATCTGATATGGAACTATATAAACCAAAAAAGGTTGAATTTAACTCCAGAACCACATTGTATTCTATCTGAAGTTTGTATATAATTTTTTTCTTAAACCATTTTATTGTCTGTTTGTAGTTCTAATTCTATGGCATGTTTTCTTACATCCCCAGTTAATTCTACTGTGGATTTTATATGCTTTTATTAAATGATTTCTTCAGATGATCCATAATTGTGATCAATTCTTTTGCCCAGAGGGGACACCCCAGATTAGTAATACCGTATTTATAATCATGCCTAATAAAACTTGTTTCTTTTTAGGAATGCTTCATATTATACACGTTTACAAATTTTTACTTCATCCAATTTCTAAATAGGGATGAGAATAGTTTTCTGTGAAGAATCACATTCTTTCCACTATTTAATGCCAATAACTGATCAGAATCATAGTGTCACTAATGTAAGATATATCAATTTCTAAACTAGGCATGTTCAAACTCTATGCTTCTGATCACATATGGCAAATGCATAACAAAGAACTATCTGAGAGGCAATTTCATATAAATTTAAGATTATTTAAGAAGTATTATTCAGATATTTATCAGAATCCTTAATTGCTAGAAAGCAATAGAGAATTTAACCATTTCACCTACAAGGAAAGACTAGATGGCAAATGTCTCATGAATTATCAAGGAGAAAAAGAGAGAATGAGAAAGAGAAAGAAAGGGAGAAATCAGCTCTTGCATGCAGCATGAGTATTCAACTAAAGTATCAGGCTGGCGCAGTATGGAAAATGTCCCTGAAATGCTCCTGCTTTCAGGCATTATCATGCATGTGGACAGCAAAATTACCAAAAAAGCATATGTTCATCCATTTATTCATTCCGTCATTCAATGAGTATTCATTGAGTGCCTCCCTTGTGCCAGGCATAATTCTGAGCTTATAGGATACAGAGAAGAATGTGGCAGAAAATCTCACTGACAATACATTAGTATTGCAAGATGCAGGCAGACAACAAACAAACAAAAATGAATGAACAAAACAAGGTCAGAGAAAGATTGGTGCTAAGAACAAAACACAACGCCAGGTGATGTGACAAGTGGGTGGAGGTAGGTGCATTTCGGAATGCAAAGGCAGAGACAAGATTTTGGATGAAAAAAAATACAAATCTCAATTTCTGAGAGGCTAGTTATACAGGATTTTTTCTTTGTCTCTCTCCTGCTGACCATATTTTGCCATTTCACTAATTATTATTGTTCCATTAAAGTGCTGAAATGCCAGTCAATAAATGATTATTGAGATCCCACTGTGTTCTCAGCACTAGGACGATTGGAAAATGTGGTTGAATTCAAACAGCTAATTCTACTGCTGTGATAAAATATGAGGTGGAGAATGATGCTTAAATCAGTAAATAACTTAAGCCTTCTCTTTCTGAGGGGTGCATTTACATCTAAGCCTCCCCAGTCCATTCATACATCACAAATCTTGAGATTTAGCCATCAATGTTTCAGGAACTTCTCCAAAAGAAGGCATCATTTATTGCCACTAGATGGCACCAATTATTTTCATATTGTTAGGCCCCCTCCCCCTAAAATACCCTTTTTCTATGTAAAGGTCATTATTTAAAATGGAAGAATATTACTTAACACTATTGTTAATAAAACTATTATTCTTTTTTTAAGCTTACTTATTTATTTTCAGAGAGAGAAAGAGTAAGTGGGGGAGAGGGAGGGGCAGAGAGAGAAAGTATCCCAAGCAGGCTCCGTGCTGCCAGCACAGAGCCTGACATGGGGCTCAATCCCACGAACAGTGAGATCCTGACCTGAGCCGCAAACAAGAGTTGGTCACTCAACAGACTGAGCCACCCAGGCACCTCTATTGTCCTTTTATTTTTTATTTGTTTTTAAAATGTTTTTATTTTTAAAAGAGAGAGACAGAGTACAAGCAGGGGAGGGGCAGAGAGAAAGGGAAACCCAGAATCCCAAGCAGGCTCCACGCTGTCAGCACAGAGCTTGATGCTGGGCTTGAACCCACAATCAGCGAGATCATGACCTGAACTGAAGTTGGATGCTCAACTGACTGAGCCACTCAGGTGCCCTGTATTGTTCTTTTATTAATAGTTTTTTACAGGGAGGATCACAGAAATAACATGAAAGATGGTATGTGCATTCACTGACATACTTGCTTAATGTATATCTGCTCTAATTTTTAAAAATGGTTTAGATAATTTCTTTGAAATGTAAAAAGTAATTGAGTATATGGATATATATAATAACTGGATATATTAATATCAGGACCAAAAATAGCTTTAAAAAGTATATTGTGATATTAAGTATATCTTTAAAAGTTTTGCAGAAATAGTTGTAATAAGATGCAGTAGAATGATTTTTCAGAAGTAATTTACCATTTGGCCTCTTAAAAATAAGCCATGTTTATAAATATATTGAAAAAGTCATGGCATTCATTATTATAATTAAATGTATCAGAAACTAATCCAAAATATAAAATAGGAGAGGAATCCCTTAATTAAATGTGTACCATTTACTCATATTCTATATAAAAAATTTAGCATGAATAGCTTTAGAAAACTTAAACTTCAGATCCAAAAATACGTATCATATGATTTCTGTTTCCAAGTTTACAGGGCAATTAAAATCTATGGAAAACTTTTCTAAAGGAAAAGAGCATGAAATATTCTCCTTTTTCAAAAAAGTGGTTGGTAAACAATCAAAGTGTGTTCATTCAGAAATAAAATGTAACTATCCCCACATCTCCCATTAAAGGCGTAATAATGGCTCTAGAATAAATATAAATTGTACTTTTATACCAGTAGACTTCAAAATAAAGTGAAGTACAGAAGGTCCCTGACTTACAATGGTTCCATTTATAATTTTTTTTTATTTTACATTGGTGCAAAAGCAATATGCATTCAGCACAAACCATACTGAGAATTTTGAATTTTGATTGTTTCCCAGGCTAGTGATTTGGGGTAGGATACTGTCTCGTGATATTGGGCAGGGACAGCAAACCCCAGCCCCCAGTCAGCCATGTGATCCTGAGAGTAAACAACTGATACACTTAACAGTCAGTCTTTCCCCACACAACCATTCTGTTTTTCACTGTCAGTACCGTATTCAATAAATTACATGAGATATCCAACACTACTATAAAATAGGCTTTGTGTTAGATGATTCTGCCCAACTGTAGGCTAATGTAAGGGTTCTGAGCACATTTCAGGTAGGCTAGGCTAAGTTATGATGCTGGGAGTTTAGGTATATTAAATGCATTTTTGACAACAATATTTTCAATTCACGATGAGTTTATCAGAATATAACCTACTTGCAAGTCAAGGAAGATTTGTACAATGACACAATGAGAGTGCACATAAAATGCACTAAAAAGCACAATATGGTATATGAATATATTATAATTACTTAGAAGAAAAAATAAGAAATTACATTGATTGCACTAACGGATTCATTTTTAAAATTTGAACATCATTACCACTTCAATATGAAAAACGAGTGCTTCAAACTAGCTGCTAGTTTAACTATCACTACATTTCCTTCATTTTAAGACAGTCCAAAAATAATACTCACTTTAATATCTGCCAGAGTTTTTTGCCTCATGGTAATGAGTGTTCTGTATCTCTGTTCTTCTTCATAGAGTCTCTCTTCACAGGTTTTTTTCTCACTTACGAGCTGATCAAACACAGCTTGTGCATATTCCTTTTTATATTTTGTAGTTATATAGTGGTTCCTATGAAGAAAGAATTGTATTTGCCACTGACCAATTCATATTTTATTTTCTGAAATACATTTGTGATACAGTTTTAAAGAGCCAGTATTTAAAAGTCTTAGAACTGAAGGGCTTTGGAAAGATCCCTAATCTTTTCCACAGGCCTATCTCCATAGAGCTACTTCTAAATGATCCAGTTGGGAGAAAATCTCTAGAGAAAATCTCTAGAGAAATGTAGTGGATTTTCTTGGTTGCCTACCCAGCATGCCTCTCCAAAAGAACCCCTCCTCCATGTAGCATATAACCCCAAAAATACATTCTAATTAGATTAAGTATAATTAGATTAGACTAGCATGTGGCTGATTATTCAGGAATGAAGATATGTATTAATATAGCCTAATAAGACGAAAGGCAAGGACCTAATTCCATGTACAAAAGGCTCCCATCCACTAAATGTGAGTGAGTCATGTTTTCAAACCTGAAGACAATGGGCATAGAGGAGAGAGAAAAAACTGAGTACCTAGTGTTGATCTCCTGGATCACCAACCCTGCAGCTGACCCTGCCTAAGAGCCCCTGTTCTATAATATGACACATTTCCCTATTGTTTAGTTTAAGCTGTTGTGAGAATGTGTTCTGTGTTTGTGTGTGTGTGTGTGTGTGTGTGTGCATTTTGTCCTTTGCAACTAAGTATATACTGACACAGAGATTAAGTGATTTTTCTTTAAATAAGGAACAATATAAGTAGAAAAAGCATCAAAAAGTGGTTAATACAATACTGCAAAACAAATATGCTTTAGAAATAATTGCCAGAGTTGATCAGTAACGCAGAATACAGAATAAGCAGCTGCAAAAGCTCCACACAGTCTTACGTTACCCACAGTTGTTTTTATCTCTGCTGGTATAGAAAACTGAACACTCTGCACAGTTAGCTAAAATAGCAGCAGGACTAAAGTTTTTGAGGGACTGAAATGTTAAAGTGCGTTGAACATAATACCTCATTTAATACAACAACAACCCTTGACATTATGGAACATAGAATACTGGGGAAATTCACACAGGAAAGAGCTAGTATGACCAGAACCAAAATACTCCCACAGTTGCTCCCAACAAATATCACTATATATTGACCACATATACTTTGTTCCCTACACTAAGTATTTTGAGACTGGATTATATTCAACAGAGCATTTAGTTAATTATAAATATACATATACATATATATGTATATATGTATACATATACATATATATATGTATATATACATATATACATATATATGTATATGTATATTTATAATATACATGTATATGTATACATACATGTATACATATATGTATGTATATACATGTATATATACATGTGTGTATACACATGTATATATACACATATATATGTATATATATGTATATATGTATATGTGTATATATACACACATATGTATATGTATACATACATATGTAAATACATACATATATACATGTATATATGTATATATACATATATACATATATACATATATGTATGTATATATACATGTGTATATACATATGTATATATGTATACATATATATACATACATATATGTATATACATACATATATATACACACACACATACACATATAGGCACATATATAGGCACATACACAAATGCATACATTATGATTATAGATCTGTCAATAATGTCACAGCTTCAGCTATTCTTTTTCTCCTTTTCCTGTGAGAAGGCAGACTTTTGTCAAGTTTAGAGAGGGAACTGATTCACTGGGACATGGTGACCAATCTTGTCCCAAGGGCAATATAATCTAGCCACAGAACAGACGAAAATGTTAGGACTGAAATGGTAAGAATTCTGAAGAAAGGAAATTCACCAGCTCCTAAACTAAATCTTTACAAGTTTAATGAGAATTAAAAAAATTTAAGCTTACACCATTGAACCTCAGCATATTTGTACAGACGTTAAATGATGTGGATAAATATCTTTCAAAATAAACAGCATATTTCCTTGCCTTCTTACATGATATACTGAATATAATTTAATGTTTTTCAGATAAATCTGTATGATCATTTTGAATATGTTTTTACCCTATAGTAATAGCTAAATAAATCCTTGCTGAGAGCATGCCCTGATTCTATTAGAGTGTATGATAATCAAGCTGTGTGCAACTGTTTTCATGACATTTTATCCCTCAAGGGCTGTGATTTTGCTAATGCTATGTTAGCCTTATTATACTTAAATCAAACTATAATTCCTAAACGTGACTAATGTATATTCTTCCAGTAGTCCTGCAAGCTCTGTTCTCAATGTATTATAAAATAGAAAATAAAAACAAAAAGGAATAAAGGAAGAGTATGCAAGTTCTAAGTAAGGGTCTATGGAAACACTGAAGGATCTTAGACTATGGTCATTCTCTAAGTGAAAGACCTTAGTAACCCTTGTCATGTATGCCCCTGACTAAAGAAGGGACTGCATAAGAGGTTTTTATAATAAATATGAAAAAATTACATGAGGTTTTATAGAATATCTATTTCTAAAGGCTTACCTTAAAACTTACCAAAAGTGTTGGGTGAAAAACCATATATTATTAACCATGTCATGTGAGTGAGAAATATTGAAATTAGTGGGAAAGATTAATTTCATAATTAAGAAAAGTTCTTCTACTTGGAAAGAATAAATATTTGCAGTTACTCAAATAAGAATAAATGAATGCAATTTATGTTCTTAAGCCAAAATTATCAAATATTACATGTTTATTCCACATCAAATAATGATGGCAAATTATGGATCATTTTAAGAACAAATCTTAAATATGGAAATCTGATCATATCTCTTTTATAAATAATATATTGAACATTTAATATTTTATAACACTTAAATACTTACTTTAATTGCTCAAGTGTCTGAGCCAAAATATTCTTTTCCTTCTCTTTTTCTTTTAAGTCCTTATTCAATTGATCTATTTTTGCATGATAAATAACTGTTTTACTTTTAGTGGTCTTTATTTCTTTAAAAATCATTGAGCGTTTTTCCTGAAAAACAAATTCAAGAATGTTTTATTTTATTTTATTATTATTATTATTTTTTTAATGTTTATTGATCTTTGAGAGAGAGACAGAGTGTTAGCGGGCAAGGGCCAGAGAGAGAGAGAGAGAGATAGAGAGAGACACACACACACACAATCTGAAACAGGCTCCAGGCTCCAAGCTGTCAGCACAGAGCCTGATGAGGGGCTCGAATCCACAAACCATGAGATTATGACCTGAGCCGAAGTCAGAGGCTTAACTGACTGAGCCACCCAGGCACCCCAGAAAATTTTATTTTAAATACTAGAATTTTCATATCCTGGCAACTTAAGGATACAATTACATTTGGCCATGTGAACAATCAAAAGCAAGCAGTAACTTCTTATCAACATAATCAACAACTTAGCTTTACCTTCCCTTCTTCATAGTTAACACCTGATGTGATTTTCTAAAAGATGGGTTAGAAGTATACAGTCTCTCTCCCCCCATCTCTTTTCCTCTCTCTCCATTTTCCCCTCTCTCCCTTGCACTAACTTGTCTGTCCCTCTACACGCCCACATACATGCACACCTTAAAGGCACATCCTTTCAAAATGCAAACATGTGGTTACTGTTTTTCAAACGTGTACATTGAAGGTAGGCAAGAATACACATTGTCCTGATCATTCAAACACAAGAAGTTGGTATTTAATACATTTCCCCAAGGCTGGCCTGTACAATTCCAGACTGAAGATTTTATTTTCCATCTATTTTTTGCATGATCCCTTTATGACTGTTGATGTTTATATTGACTTAATGATTTACTGACTGGATGACTGACTTACAGAATGTTGTTCCCTACATCTGGCATTGCTTCTAATTAGTGCTACTCTCCCCCAACTGATTTCACAGATTTCAACTGCTCCCTTTGCTCCTATTTTCCTCCATTTTCCCCCATATGCTCCCTGATTCTTTCTCTGCTCTTACAGATTTCAAGAAGAAAGGCTAATCTTTTATATTTATTTTCCTACCCACTGTTTGTCCACGACTTTCAACACTGGGGACTGTGTTTGAATTTCCATATCCTCCCTTTTTTTTTTCTTTTTCTGAAAGTTCTGGAATGAGGGTGTTTGTTGGTTGGTTGGTTGGTTTTTGGTTTATTTTCAATACCTGAATACAGTTGAAAGATGAATGACTAGGATTCTTCAATGAGACCCAACAGGATATTATATTATTACTAGGAGAAAAGTCAACACCTCAAAAAAGTGTGAAGAGATACATAAGTATGGAGTAAATTAAGTATTCAGAAGCTGAAGAGGATGGGCAACTGTGAGTACAGCATGCCATCACTAAACTTGACTTTTAAGTCAGATTCCATAATTCATGCCTTAATCTTGAATGAGGATTCTTGTAGGAAACTAAGAAGACCTCAGAAGCAATGGTATTACAACTGAGACCAAACCAGCCAATTCAGCAATGCTGAAGGCGGTGTCAGAGGATTCTATACCAAAGGAAAGCAAGAGTGTGCTTCCTGCAGACAGCAGTGAAAAGCAAAAACAGTATTTTGGCACTTTAATAGGTACCATCAGTGAGGCTTTGGTACATGTGAACAGCATATCCCCCTCCACGGCATCAAAAAAGAGCAGAAACAGCACTATAAGGAGCTGAGTAGAAGGAAGCTTTTAGATGCTCTATGTCAATCAGGGGTACAAATTTGAGCATCTCCAGTTCAAAAAAGGTTGGGGACCCCAAGAGCCATTTGTAAGTCTATTGATAAATGCTGAAGTGCCACCAGAGTAAATGGGAATAGAGGCATAAAAAAAGTACATTTAGAATCTGACCATCCTTCGGCTTATTTTTCTCAAATACTGTCATTTCCAGCCACATATTTAAAAGATATCAGGTAATAAATATTATAGAGGCGCCTGGGTGGCTCAGACACTTGAGAGTCCAACTTTGGCTCAGGTCATGATCTCACAGTTTATGAGTTCAGGTCATGATCTCACAGTTTATGAGTTCAAGCCTCACACTGGGGTCTGTGCTGAGTGCAGAGAGCCTGTTTAGGAGTCTCTCTCTGCCCTTCCCCCACTCACACTTCCTCTCTCTCTCTCTCAAAATACATAAACTTAAAAATTAAATAAAGATTATATTCATATTCTAAATTATTAATTTCAGATTATATTTTAAGTAAGATTTAATAAATGTATTTTTAAATTATCTAAATGTAATAAGTGTATATTCTATGTCTATGATTTAAATGGGGGTGAAAATAGTAAAAATTCAGTAATGGCCCACGTTTAGCTTGGCCATGATTGAAATGCTTATGCACAGTAAAAGATAAGATTATTTGTCTTAAAAATTATCTGTCTTAGAATTTAAGTTCTTAGAAGATAAAAATAGGGTCTACAGTATATTTTGTATACCTATCAGCATAAGAGTACTTAATAAATGCTATTAAATATTTGAATTACAGCAGTCTGGGGTTCCACAGCAACATGGTACAGAAGGTGTTTCTTCATCCAGGGATCGCCCATCTCACTGGCTTCATCTCTTTTCATTCCTATAATAGGTACCCTACTTTCTGGTCATACCAAACTACCTACAATTCCACAAACACACAGCACTATTCCATGATATCTTTCCTTTGCAAACATAGCATCTGTTTCTAAAATGCCTTACCTCATTTCTTCATCCATTTAAAAATTATATAACAACAATAATAGAAACCATTTGTTGAATACCTCCACTGCCAATCGTTTTTCATTCTTTTAGGCTTTGTGTGTATATCATCTCTGTTCTCTACAACATATGGCAATGCAAGTACTTAACCTCCATTTGCTCTGTGAGTAATAACCTCCCCTGAAAAACTTTCCCCAGATCCCTCCGTTCACAGCTCAGTTTCCTCCTCCATGACACTCTCCCACCTCATTATACTGCTGTCATAGCTTTGCTCGCAGAGTATTAATGCTCTCTGCGTCCTTGTCTACTCCCCAAAAAGATGATGTGCTTCTTGAGTGAACAAAGTTCTCCTTTTGCCTCCTCAACTCCAGCAAATTCCAACAATGTTTAATATATCTCAAGTGTTCAATAATAACTGGAAAGGCAAACTAAGTTGAAGGACAAATAAAAGAAAATTAACCCTTCTTCTCTAGCACTTGAACTCCTAGTACCTTGGATAACACTGAGCACAAAGAAAGTGTTCAGCCATATTCTTAATTGAAATCTGTTATTTGTAAGACATACCACTTTTGGCAATTTTTAGTTAATATTTTTGAAACCAGTATTCAGATGTGGACATGAGAACTGTGGTAGCTTTCAACTGTACTGCTCAACACATAGGTTTTAGGTTTTGTGATGTGTTACAAGTAACTTGTGATCAGTAACAGAAGTGTGCTGAGTAGTAGGAGCTTATTGGAATGTTTTTGATCCTGAGTTTAAAGGAAATACTTTTAATGTTCCATCATTGAGTATAACATTTTCTAAAAAATACTGGTAGACACACACTATAACACACAATCAAGGTCAGAATGTTTTCATTCTGTTTCTAGGTAGTTGAAGGTCTTTTTGAAAATCATTGTTGGCTATGGTGTTTTATCAAATATTTTGGGTTGTCTTTCATTTCTGTAAATGTACTGAATTATATTAGTACAGCTGATCCTTGAATAGCACAGGTTTGAACTCTGCAGACCCACTTACATGCAGAGTTTTAACAGCACACTATTGTAAATATATTTTTTCTTCCTTATGATTTTCTTTAGTCTATTCTACTTTAATATAATAATATAGAATATAATATCTGTAGCATACAAAAATATATGTTAATCAACTGTTTGTTATCTTTAAAGCTTCCAGTCAACAGTAGGCTATTAGTAGTTAAGTTCTGGGGGAGTCAAAAGTTACATGTGGATTTTCAACTATGTGGGGGCCGGCACCGCTAAATCCTGCACTGTTCAAGTATCAGCTGTACATTTCTTTATGCTGACTCATCTTCACATTCTTCAAAAGAATCTTAACTTGCATAATACATGCTTTTAAATCACACTGTAAAACCTCAATGCACTGATATATTTAAGGTTTTGTCATCTGTGTTCATAAATGAGATCACCTATAGAATTCTTTTTCATGCTAATCTTTTTCAGTTACAGTTTCAGAATTACATTATTACAGAATGAATTCAGAAGCTCTCCATACTTTGTTATGGTCTGTATCTGGTCTTTGTAGGGATACCTGTAAAGTACCCGGGCTTGTTCTTGCCACTAGTGGTCTAGACAGATGACATTTATTCTATAATTATCATTCTACTCTTGTTGTGATTCTTCCTCTTGACTCAGTTTTCATTATTTGCATTTTATAAATAAATTATATACTTCATCCAAATTTTAAAACAAACTGCTATGCAAAGCAGCATTCTTTCTTTCATTACTATATATAATTATTTCTCTGTTAGTTTTTCCCATGGCTGTTTTTATCCTCTTTTTGTTCACATAGATATGCTAAGCACTTTAAGTTTTTCTTACCAAAATAATTTATTGGTAATACTAAAGTATTACCCTGACCTGCTCCATAAATTTTGCTCTATGGTTTATCATCAGTCATTTATAAATAAATGGTAAGTTATATTTCTGAATATTCCTTAACACAGAAGCAAATAATGGGGAAAAAATGTAATTTAAAAAATATGCCCAGAGGGGTACCTGGGTGACTCAGTCAGTTAAGTGTATGACTCTTGATTTCAGCTCAGGTCATGATCTCACGGTTTGTGAACTTGAGTCCTGCATGGGGTTCTGAGCTGACAGGGTGGAGCCTGCTTGGGATTCTCTCTCCCTCTCTCTTCTCTCTGCTCCTCCCCCACTTGTTTTCTCTCTCTCTCTAAAAATAAACTTAAAAAAAAATTTTCTAAAAACATATTTCCAGTGATCTATACAAATGTTTTCTTTTTGCTGCAATTTTTTTTTGTTAGAGTTCTAATTTTACTTCATTATATTCAACAAAAGTAACCTGTATGAGCAGATCAGAATAATGTAATGGTTAAGAGCATAGATTCTGGTGCCAATGCCAGATTTAGTGAATCTCGACTGCACCATTAACAAGCTGTGTGAAACTGAACAAGTTCATTAAAAAACAAGGCATTAGATTCTTCAACTGTAGAATGGAGATAATAATAGCATAATCTTTGTAGAGTTATTATGAAGTTGAAATGAGTTAATATATCTGAGCATTTTAAATAACGTCTGGATATAGAGAATTGAAAAATATCAGTATCTGTTGTTGGAGTTATTGTTGCTAGTATTATTATATTCCTTGGTAAATTTTTAATATTTATTTTGTGGCCTAGTACAAACATTTTAAAAATATTATGATTACACAGGGGTGCCCGTGTGGCCCAGTCGGTTATGTGTCCAACTTCAGCTCAGGCCATGATCTCATAGTTTGGTTTGTGGGTTCGAGCCTCGTGTCGGGCTCCATGCTGACAGCTCAGAGCCTGAGCCTGCTTCAGATTCTGTGTCTCCTTCTCTCTCTGTCCCTTCCTGCTCTTGTTCTGTCTCTTTCAAAAATGAATAAATGTTAAAAAAAATTTTTTAAAAAGATATGATTACACCTCTATCTAATAGCCAACATGCTGTCCACCAACAAATCCAATTGGTGCTACCTTAAAAATATATTCAGAGGATAGCAAGTTGAAGATAGTGGACTGACACTTCCCCATATCCAGTGATTTTATAAAGACAGAATACTGGAGATGAGGATTTTCAGGGAGCAAATATTTCTTTAATTTTTTTTTAATGCTTATTTATTTTTGAGAGAGACAGAGAGAGTGTGAGCGGGATAGGGGCAGAGTGAGAGGGAGACAGAATCCAGAGCAGACTTCAGGCTCTGAGCAAGCTGTCAGCACAGAGCCTGATGCGGGGCTCGAACTCACAAACTGCGAGATCAAGACCTGAGCCGAAATCAGATGCATAACCAACTGAATCACCCAGGTGCCCAGGGAGCAAATATTTCTGATTTGGAAAAAGCCCTGAAGCCTTTTGATATATGACCATGCTGCCTTTACAATGGCGTGAGGGTAAAATTGAGTTGTCGGATATTAACAAATGTTTCAGTCTGTACATTGGTCTCATCTCTAGAAACATGGTACTATCTGGTACAATACAGAAATCCCTACCTCTACTTTGTAGGAAAGGTTAACAGGAGGGTGCACTAGTACAGTGGGAAAAACACTATAAAAGAGAAAAAAATGAAGATACACTCTGTGTGTATGTGTGAGTATGTGTGTATGCGTATAGAAACTTAGTGCAACCAATTAGAAATGAGAGGTATCCACCTAAAATAAATTGCTTGAATAGTTTTCATTGACATAAAGATGTTGGAAATTCATAAATTTTTTGGTATTAAATTTCTTACCTCAGTTTCTATTATTGCATCACGAGTTTTCTTCCCTTTTTTTCTCAAATTTTTCTTTGTTCTTTCCACGTTTTTTTTAACATTTTCTATTTTCTCAATTATATCATTTAATGTCTAGAAGACATTCAGAAATTAAGATATGCAGCAGTTACAATCCAACTACCCTGGTTTAGACTAAGTAGTTCCCAAATGACCATTTTAATAGTAACAATATGTATTCTGGTAGAAAGGGAAAGGACCACCACACACGAATAACAAAAATATACTATGATATCCACATCCCAATATTCCACTTGAATTAGCAGATAAAACCAAAAATCTAATAAATTTTAGCTAAATAACAAAAACTAATAAACTCACATAGAAATTATAAGTTTTCACCATATTTGAAAATTTTAACCAAAATTAAAACTCCAAATACCAATTATCAGCGATCATTACCAAAAGTGCATAAAAACTTGCTATTTCCAAGAGTCTGTGTTAAATTCATAGTTCTTATAGTTTATAAACTATTAAAATATAATAAAAACAAAAATGATTACTGAACTATAAGATGAGGAAAAAAAACAATGGCTATTATAAAATAAGGGGGAATAAAAGTCATTAATCTTTTTAGGAATTCATTATGCTCAGATGATTATACTGAGGCTTTTGAAGCAATTAATAAATTTCCATCACTAATGTAAGGAGGAGCCATTATTAAAATCATTTATCTCACTAGGTGTTAGTACTGGTTATATATTCATTACATGAGCTCTAGGATAAGCAATTAAGAGCCCTGAATATAGTAGTATACTCAGAATTTGTTGTTGCCATGTTTTATGGCCTTGTACAAGCTGCTTCGTGCATTTAGGCCCTAGTTTTCTCAAGTCCACAACACAGGTAAGCTCTGTCTTGGGTATTTCACAGGGAGGCTTTGAAGATCGAAATAAACTTTCAAAATGGGAATATTTTATAAATCATAAAGTTTTTTTAATTAAAAAAATTGAAAATTATTAAGGGCCATTTTAATAAATTATTAAATTACATCATCATTTGCAAAGAAAAAAATTCTTTGTATGTCCTCCCTGCACCTAAGGACAAGAATATATAACTCTCACCACACCCTCTACTTCTCCAAAAGACTAATGACAGGATGCATACATATTTTTCTACTAAATTTTTCTTTGGGAAGGGCTAGTAGTATCAGTAACTGCCATAAACTTGTTTTGAAAATATTTTATCGACATTTGCTTTATTTTTCATCCTATGTGTCTCAACTTCTTCCACATACATCAAAAATTTACCATAAAAATGTCAAGATGCATTAGATTTTATATTTGAGTAAACATAGCTTCAGCATTTTATTAACAGGCAGTGAAGACTTTGAATTAAATTTAACATAGTGGGCAATCACAAAAGAAAAATCACTACTCATCTGTTTGAAAACTGCTTTTCCTAGGTACACTTTAAGATAGAGTATGGGGGCCCAGGTAATAGCATCAATAGTCTTGCCATTTGGTTCCACTATAGATCAGCTGTGTGGTCATAAAATACTCATTTTGTTCATGCTTTTATGTCTTCCTATGTGAAATCATAATATTCCAAATAATAATGTAAGATCACATATACGATTTATCGACCTCAACACTCCTGGAAATTAGCTTCTGGATTAATTGTAAGTGCTTACGTCAGCATGCTCTTTGTGGGCAGTTCTGATTTTTGCGGCATCTTCTTCTAGTTCAAGCAGCGGCGTCTCTAGTTCCGCCAGTGCTAGGGTGTACATTGCTTCCTTTTCCATAAGATCCTGTCTCTCAAGGATCTGTTCTTCTTGAATGGAATACAATTTTTTCTGCCAGCAAAAATTTTAAAGAATTCATTAAGTTATCAATCACCTAAACATGGGGTAAGGAGTGCACTTGTTGTGATGAGCACCAGGTGATGTATGGAATTGTTGAGTCACTATACTGCACACCTGAAACTAATATAACACTGCCTGCTAACTGGAATTAAAAACTTAAAAAAAGTAAACATTTATTGAGTCTCAGTCTTGTGTCAGGCAATAATATTTGTTGTTATTTGAAAATTAAAAAAAAATTATGCCACCACAAAAAATAGGTGTGAATATACCATATTTAAACAATGTAGTTATTATGCAAAAATGAGAGACAATTAATATAGATAATAAAAATCAAACATTCTTATGTAAGTATTGGAAGATAATAAGGTTAAAAAGCACACTAACAACAAATATTGAAATATATGTTAATTCTGGCAAACTAAAACCCAGTAAAACCAATGGACAAGAAGTTAATGACAAAATACTAAGCTAAAAGGGCTAGAAAATTATGGAATTACTGAACATACATATACATAGAAAGAAAAATAAATCAGGAAATTTGGCATTTTCAGCACAGAGAAGCGGAGAAACACTGCTTTTATATGTCTGAAAATGCCAAATTTCCTAGCAGAAGAAATCACAAAATTTGTGTTCATTTCAAAGAAGACCAGAGGTGCAGATAATCTCAAATAAGTGTATACGATAACACTGTTTTGGACTGTTTTGCCTCTTGATTTTATTTTTAGAACTTCAAGTATTCATGTATCTCTGAAGGGGAGCCATTCTAGAAACATGTCAAAGATCAAAACAGACAACCTGGGTTCCAAAGGATATGCAGGTGGTAGACGAAGATAAAGACATTTTAAATTGACTTTGCTAGCTATATTAATTTGATTTCAAAATTTTTATATAGAAATAACATATGTTTTTTCAATTTTAAATACAGAAATTCAATTGAAAGACACTAAAAGTAAAGAAAACATAACATCATCACAAAGCAAACTAAGGAGACACGTAGGAATAAGATCTCACTGCCCTTTTACTAGACTGGCAGAAATTCCCATTAAGCCACAAAATGAGATATGTGTATGGGAGGTCAGTTTCTTTATGCATGATCAGGCTCTGCTAGTCGCACACAGAGGGCAACTGTCATCAGCTAAGGAGAGAAAACTGCTGGCTTGCAAACCAAGTAGGGAAAAGATGCCTCATTACAGGCAAATTTAAAATGCTAAGTACAATGCAAATTAAAGGAAGAATAAAATATTGAAACCGAATTAGGATTACCTGAATCATCATTCCATTAGTCACTTCACTTCGAATAAGTCTTTTCAAGAATTCTTCTCTACCCTATATATTATCAAATTTAAGAAAGGTTTTATTTATAGAATATCAGAAAATATTATTGAAGACAACTGACAACACCAGCAACATTTTACTTACATCATAATAAAGAATAAAATATTTATTAAAAATTGAGTATTATAAAAAAACAACAGCCAACCAACCAAACATACAACCAAAAAATCCGATGTTATTTGAAACAAAATAAGTGATACAAGACCAAGAAAAAAAAAAAATTAAAAAAAAAAAAAGGCGTCCGACTTCAGCCAGGTCACGATCTCGCGGTCCGTGAGTTCGAGCCCCGTGTCAGGCTCTGGGCTGATGGCTTGGAGCCTGGAGCCTGTTTCCGATTCTGTGTCTCCCTCTCTCTCTGCCCCTCCCCCGTTCATGCTCTGTCTCTCTCTGTCCCAAAAATAAATAAACGTTGAAAAAAAAATTAAAAAAAAAAAAAGACCAAGAAAAAGTTCAGTTCAAGTTACTTTATAATCCTGAACTAAAAGATCAAAGTAATCAAAAAGGAGAGACTAAACAGTCTTCAATTCCTCTTTTTAAAAACTATCAGTTTGCTTTCAATAACATCTTCCAGAAGGAACACATTCAATTTTGAAAATTGATAGTCTGAAGTTTGTAAAATGTAATCAGATTCTCCATTTGGCCAGAATATTTTTTTTTCTTTTTTCTTAAAAAAAAAAAAAAAAAAAATCATTCTTTGGAATTTAGTAGGCAAAAAATGTGTAGAAAAAAAATTTTTTTTCTGTTACTTGGATAGATTTAAACTCTCCATAGCTCCATAGTTGTAATTGACATTACCACACAACACCAGAGATGCTGCCTTTTAATTATGCAGTATGGATTACGTAGCTACTGAGAACAGTATTGGGAAAATGAATCCATATTACTGTAGATTTAACACAAGAGATAGAGTATGGTCTTAGTAAAGTACTTATTAAACTATCATTGAAAATGTTTAAGAAGAGAGGATGGAGAATGACAAAGAGTTATAGTAGCTGTAAAAACATCTAAATAACTTATCGAACAAATGAATTAACAAATAACAAACAAAGTACTTTTGGTCCCTAGGTTGGGTAATCAAGCTATCAAAGTTTTAGGTTCTTTCAAACTCAAAAATAGGTTTTTAAAAAATCTCTTCATATAATGAGAAACTCCAGATCCATTAAAATATCATAATCACACAGATTCTTACTCATGAACAGCATGTGAAGGATGGAGAGTGAAACCAGGCCGACAAGGTGTTTCCCTGAGACTTAAGGAAATAGGGGCAGTGGTAGGAAATGCAGAGGTAAGTGCCTGAATAAGAACTGAAAGAAGAAACCATTTTCAGGAGGATGGCCTGCAACCCAGCCTGTGCCAAACTTTTCAGTTCTTCTAATTGTCGATGGATTGTAAAAGGAATGGAAGTCCAGAAAATTCACCATTTCACACCTCTGACAAAAATGGATTCAACCAAGACTTACCAGTGGATGCTAAATTTGGATAAAAAAATTTTTTTGGAAACAAAGATAATTTCATGTTCTTAACATATCATTCAATTGGGTCAATACTACAACAGGAGAATAAATAAATTTATTAGTCATAACTTTAACCAAATGACCAAACTTACTATCACTAATAATGAGACAAACTTTCACCATGTGCTTTGTGATGTTTCATTGACACAATATGATAACTATGTAATAGTCCTGCCAAAAGTGTTTAACCTGAATTTAACAATGAGAACAAAAAAATAAACCCATTGTGAGAGATGTTCTGGAAAGTAAATGGCTTAGACTCTTCAACAAATGTTAATGCAATAAAAGGCAATTCTTTTTTTAATGTAGGAGACTCTAAAGATTAAAAGAGACTCTAGAGTTATGAGATAAATGGAAGACATGGTGTTCAGTTACATATAGAAACCAACTGAATTAGAGAAGTTTGCATGTGGACTGTATATTTGTGCCATTTATCTAATCATTGCCTTTTAGCTTTAAATCCAGTCTCTTAACTAATTTGAGATACTAGGGCTGGATATGTAAACTATTTTCTTCTGCCAGCTGGCTTCAAGTGAGGCTTTATCAATAGAGGGCAATGGTGGGGCTTACAAGGCTACAGCAAGGCCCTTGACAACCTTGTTCTGTTTCCAATGGTTTCCTCCTTCTTCCTGTAGAATTGCTGCCAGCTGGTGTGTGGAAAACCAATGGTGCCTACCCTCCAGGTTCTCTACCCAGAAACTCCATTCAAACTCCATTTAACCTTCATCAAATTCTCTGGCACCTGGCAGATAGCTGCTTAAGGTCATCGACTGAGACACAGCCACGCTCTCTCCCGTAAGACCTTACTCTGCTTTGGAGGAAGGTAGCCTCTTTCACGCTCTTTGGGTACTTATCCCTAAAGGCTGTGGATGCTCCCTATATTTGCTATTCTTGTATTCTTTAGAGGTCAACAAGCTTTCTCTGTAAAAAAAAAAAAAAAAAAAAAAAAAAAAAGTAAAAAAATATAGGCGTTGGGACATAAAGCCTCCATAAAAATAAGTCAATTCTGGTTTTGGAGAATAAAATATATGAAAAGATCACTTTGAAGAGCTTCAAAGAAGTCAAAGAAAAGGCAGAGCATTCTCAGATGCTAAGAGCCCAGATTGAAACAGTCACCTTTGACCTGCTGCCTGGCTTTAGCAGACAAAAACCAGAAGGTGGCAGCAAAGAGCTATTCTACTGGAAGAGACTTATACTAGGACAAAGAACTGAAGAGCAATGCAACACTTAATGCTATGTGTCCGAAAATCCACTTTCAAAGAGAAAAGAGAAGTAAACACCAAATATAAATAGATATAAGCTCAGAATCAAGGAAGTAGCATCAGTTTGCTTTCCAGTGATGGAGGGGAGTTGAGACCAAAGTTGGAGAACTCAAATTATTATATAAGATTTTAGACCAGGAACAGAGAAAACAGTAATTAAAAATTAAGAGTTATAATGAAAAATTGAGTATTTCTGCAAATAACTGAGTTGTACTGAATCAGTGGGGCAGAGCAGCTCTGACTTGCATTCTTAGGGCCCTCTTTTGTGGCCAGGAACCTAACAAAAAGTACAGGTAGCAGCCCAAATGGATTCTTTCTAAAAATAAACACAAGGGTGCTTGTGTTTTTACCTTTCTTTCTTTATGAAAATAAATCGGTTTTTTTGGAGAAACATTTTTAAATTACATAAGTAAAATTAAAATAACCTGAATCTCCAAACCCAGGGATGTGCATTGTGACTTTTTGGTGTATTGCTTTTTAGGTCCAGGGATTCAAGTTGTTTTTGTTGGTAGAGTCAGCCTAGATAGATAGTCTATCTTTCTCAGCCACTAAAAAAAGCAAAATCACCATTTTTAAAAATTTAGAACTGAATGAATTTACAATTTATCCTTGTACTCATATTACACAACAAATCTATTACTGAAAAATTTGTGTTTTTAAAATTTTCCCACTATATGTTAGCTATGTATTTATGTTTTCCATAAACACGTATTGAGTACCTACTTTGTTCTCAGCACTGGTCTAGGCACTGAGATGCAGTTGTACAAAACAAACAATTCTTGTCCTCCTGGAGTATATTTTCTAGTTGGTATCATGTAACTAATCATAAACATCCTTAATACCCATCTTTGTAGCCTTTGTTCGTCTTTATTATCTGGTGATTTTCTTTAAGTCTTATTTTTAGAAATAATTAACTATAGATTGCAAATGTATTTAGTATTTAAAGTTCTTTACATGGGGCGCCTGGGTGGCTCAGCTGGCTGAACTTCCGACTTCAGATCAGGTCATAATCTTGCAGATTGTGAGTTCGAGCCCCACGTCGGGCTCTGTGCTGACAGCTCAGAGCCTGGAGCCTACTTCAGATTCTGTGTCTCCCTCTCTCTCTGCCCTTCCCCCATGCATGCTCTGTCTCTGTCTCTCGAAAATAAACATTAAAAAATAGTAAAAATAAAGTCTTTACATATATTGGTTTAATATCTACAAATCAATGTGACACATGACATTAACAAAATGAAAGATAAAAACCATATGATCATCTCAACAGATGCAGAAAAAAAAAAAAAAATAGAAAAAACCCAAAATCAGTTCATGATTAAAAACTCTCAACAAGGTCAGTTTAGAAGGAACATAACTCAACATAAAAACGCCATACATGACAAACCAATAGCTAACATATTACTCAATGGTGAACAAATGAAAGCTTTTCCTTTAATATCAGGAACAAGACAAGGATGTCTATTCTTACCACTTTTATTCAAAATAGTAATGTAAATCTTAGCTGTAGCAAAGAGACAAGAAAAACTAATAAAAAGCATTCAAATTTAAAGAAGTAAAACTGTCACTATTTGCAGATGACATATTAATATATAGAGAGAACCCTAATACTCTACCAAAAAATTATTAGAACTAATAAATGAATTCATTAAAGTTGCAGGATACAAAATAATAGAGAGATGTGTTGTATTTTTATACATTAATAATAAAGTAGCAGAAGAAGAAATTAAGAAAATAATCCCATTTAAAATTAAGCAAAAAGAATAAAATACCTAGGAATAAATTTAACCAAGGAAGTGAAAGATCTATAACCTGAAAACTGCATGACACTGATGAAAGAAAGTGAAAACAACACAAACAAATGAAATCATATACCATGTTCATGACACAGAAAAATTAATATTGTTAAAATATTTAGGCTACCCAAAGTTACTAATCTACAATTTCAATACAATCCTTATCAAAATATCAACACTGTTTTTCACAGAACTAGAACAAATAATCCTAAATTTGTACGGAATCATAAAAGCGCTCAGTAGCCAAAGCAATCTTGACAAAGAACAAAGCTGGAGGTATCATAATCCCAGATTTCAAAACACAACACAATGCTACAGTAATCAAAACAGTTTGGTACTGACACAAAACAGACACATAGATCCGCAGAACAGAATACAGAGTGCAGTGCATAAATAAACCTATGCTTCTATATGGTCAATTAATA